AGCTACACAGGATGACTTTTGTCAAACCGAAGATCTCATCATGCCTGGAAGGTCAGAGTGTAAAGGTCAGACAAAGTCCAGTCTCCTTTCCCTCCGGATTGAGGATTCAACTCGAATTGGCGTCTCAGTCGGTAAAGTGCTGCAGGAGTAATTGATGCTAGTGAATCGACCTCCACTCCGCCTTATCCGCTGCCTTTTGGTTAGGTTCTTGTCAGAACCAAAGGATTTGGTTGAGAACCCTAAGCGTTCTTCCGCTTAGCAGTACCCGTCCATAAACCTTCAATGAAGCTCTGTCGAGCACCAACTTCTCCCTCACGAAGTGACATTGCCTCACACACAAACTCTCAACCTCTTCTCATCAATGGACCCAACTCGACCACATCGCCATGAATACCGCTCGAGGGAGTCCATTCAAGGCTGCCACTCTCACTAGTCAACAATCGTGTTTTGTTATGAGCCCGACTCTCCTTACACTTGGTAAATATCTGCAACAAAGCCGCCGTGTCTGGTGGGAACGCCATGTGAGCAATGACGAGGTTCGTCCTCGTGTGTTGGTTGCGGATAATCGTTTTCTAACAGAAATAATCGCCTCCGGTGATTGGTTACGTTTTGCCTATGCCTGTCCATTGTTTCCCTTTCCCTGCTCTCTTTACACGTGCCAGGCAAAGCTAAAAGAAGCGCGGTCAAACCGTGACATGTCGTCAAGGTATGAAGAAGCTGGCTTCAGCCTTGGTTACGGTTGGTGCTATCCTCCTTCCAGGTTGTGACCAAATTGATGAGGATTGTCGTTGGTTAGGAACGCTGAGATATATGACCCAGAATAGAAGTCAGTGGCGGGAATGCTGTATGGTCTATCTGTTGAAATCCCGTGCACCAGAAGTAAAAAGATAAACAAAATATCAAAGTGTGGGGTGAAACAAACAATCCCCTGTTTTCTGTTATTCTTGTTGTTACGTTGGCATCAAGCTTGCTCGAAAGCCGATGGTAAATATGTACATCATCGTGTCAGCGTACGCACCGATCAACNCAACATACAATTGATTGAGATGTGCTATCTCGCTTCTGATGTGAAAGTTGACAGTTTTCACCGTCAGTTTATTTCTCGAGCGATACGCCCTTCCCCTCCGCAAACCAGGCGAATGAGAATTTCGCTCAGCAGATCAGAGTGGAGTAGGGATTGTACTAAATAATAAAACCGAAGCCCCACTCGTTGGTTAGATCCCCGTCAACAGTCGCTTCTGTGCGATGCGGCTCCAGGGGTCTATCACTGTCCCAAAGGGAAGCAACACCAAGAAGTATTTGTGTATCACTTAAGCATGCGCACCGACCAACTGCAAGCCTGATGAACAAAAACATGAGTTCTGTGACAAACTCACCGAAATCATTCGGTTGACCTGAAATTTGAATAGATGTGCTGGTCGACCACCTTACCGCGAAAGTTGGAAAACTGAGCGTTTTTAAGCTTACCNTACCGAGGCGGTTCTTCTGCTCTGCCCTTCCAACGAACAGCTAAAGGCGATCGACTTTTTCAGTTCCGAACACATCACCATCTATCTAGTAAAGACTTTTGACACAGCTCTCAACTTACGGCAACGTGGCGCTCCAGTTAAACCGGTAAATCAAATCGGCCACACAACAGTAAGCTACCGGTGACGTAGCTCAGTGCGAAACTGCAGACCCTATTGCAAGACCTGGGTTGAGTCTGATCACGCACTAGTTTTGATGCGGTTCACTTTCATACTCACTGGTCGCACAAAAAACCATCGAACCCGGTTGGGAGATCATCGCTTATCTAAAAAGCCGTTAGTTCTCGCTTTGAATCAAAACTAGAGCAAGCGCTAACGGCGCTGTAGCGTGGTAGTAAAAATGCACAACGGGATCAGATTAGACGAGCAATGCTCTCCTCAGCGAGGTTTACTTGTGGATCCGAAGCGGTAGCCTGTCCGAGGCATTGATATCTGAGGAGTCAGTTGCACTGATGAAGAAAAAGTGGAAAATTTCGACTGCCCGGAACCAAAGTAGAGGTAGGTGGCGTCTACAACGTTACTTCATGAAAAGCCTCAAGGAGGACCGGAAAAATTGGTGGCTAACAGTAGCTAATGGATTGGAAGTAGCAGCTACATCAGGGAATTGTGCAAGACAGTTCCAACTGATACGCAACAAGGAAGGTTGGTGAACCACAGTTAGGAAAACAATCTTTATTTTCTTTTTCATTTTACTTCCTTTGATTGAACATACAAAAATACAATTTTCACACACAATGGGGAAAGTCAGGTGGTAGTGGTAGGATTCGAACACATACCTGGGGTGGTAATTTGGTGACGTTTCCACCAGGCCACCACTGCGACAAAAGTGGACAAGCTATTCACGGTAGGGAATAACAGCTCGAGAGAATATTTCGGCTGGCCTGGCGCTAACCAGACTATCTCATCTGTTGTAGTTGAGGCTCCGTAAGCAGTGTCATTTGGACTTCCTACTGAAGCAAAAGTACGATCTTTCATCCAAACCCTGAAGAAAGGAAAAGCAGTAGGACCCGACGGGCTTCCTCCCACCGTTCAAAATGGAAGGCGATGACCTCGTAGATTCCACTACTGATTTACTGCATAATATTTGGTCGCAAGACCGTATTTCATCATCGTGGAGAGAATCACTAGCTGTTATAATTTTCAAGGAGGAATCTTGCAACGACTGTGCAAACAGCCGCAAAAGTCGACACTATCTTAGTAACCTCCGTTGTACTTCGATGTCTGACGTCCTCCAGAGCGATAAATGCCCGTGAAAAACAAGTAAGATTCCGACTAGGTGGCGGTTGTGTCGACCGAATCTTCACGTTGCGTCAAGTCTTCGGGCTACGCCCTACGCACCGTCGACCAACGGTTGTCGTGTTCCTTGACCCAAAACGAGCCTTCGACTCAGTTGACCACGAATACATTTTGGGTTCGCTCCCTCACAATGGAAAGCCGCAAAAGCATGTGAACCTATGGCGGCAATCCTGTTCGCATACTTCGAGTAATAATAGTCTACGGTTCGCTAAGCAAACCGTTCGAAACCAGGAGCGGTGTTCATCAAGGATGCCCTTTTCGTCACTTCTGTTCAATTTGGTCGTAGATGAACTACTGGAGAACGCATTAAGTGGTCTGCAGAATGTTGCAGCTGGAGAAAAGCTGTGTAAACTAGAGTAAGCCTACAATATCGTCTGTCTGTTCGAATGTATGGAGGATGCACACTGAGCCCTTGAGAGACTAGCTAGTTCTGTAGCTCCGTTTAGCATGTGCTGCGCACCCCAAAAGTCCAAAGTGATGTTGAATGACTCGGTGTTGCTGAGTGCCGTTCTGAAACTCAATGGTCAGTAATTAGGTGAAGTTGAATGCTTCTCGTACTTGGGTAGTTGCATGACGAAGGATGGTAGCGCATCAAAGTAGATGGCCGTCCACGTTTTCAACTCTCGTGCAGCGTACGCAAGACTAATACCACTTTGGTGACGACTTGCCGTTTCACTGAAGTTGTAAAGTAGCGTATATCACGCTACTGTGCTATCAGTTCAACTTAACGGTTGTGAGACCTTGAATTTGCTGGTAGAAGACATCTTTCGCCTAGCGGTTTTCGACAATCGATGCCTTCGTAGGCTGGTCCAGGTAGGCTGCAGTGAGTTTGTTAGTAACCTAGAAGTAAGTCGTCGGGTGTTTGAGAATACGTCAAACACGAACTCGTTAGCATATCGAATTCACCTGAATAGGCTCCGTTGTTTAGTACATGTTTTGCATATGTCTAACGGTCGTCTACCGCACCGCACCTTATTTGTAATGGACGTTCCAGACTGGAGAAATCCACGTGGAAGCCAGCAGATGACGAGGAGACGAGCATGAAGAGATGCACAGAGCGATTGGGTAGAGTAGGTTTCTCTCGTCTTCCGGGTTAAATCCAAGATTCCGTAACAGTGTGTTTGGAAACACTGAAGGTTGTGGCAGCGAACCGACAGCAGTGGCGAATTGGTTGTCACTTTTTGTCAGTCCAGAATGCTTGAAATAGTGTGTATGCACAGTTGGATTGTGTACTCTATGTGTTAATTATAGAAGTTCTTTTCCCGTCCCTAAAAATAGGCTCAATCCCTTTCCTCCTTACATATTCTCATTGAACTTGTATGCATTATGAATTCAGTAGCGCTCAGCTAAGTCCGTTTCACTGTGTTTCGCTGTACGATGTACAAATTTGGAGCTTGGTAGTGGTCATTGAAATTTGGTTCACAGTATTTTGCTGCACGTTGGTGAGAATGGTGAGTCTTATGTTTTGGCTGTTCGTCAGTATGCTGTATGCTGTGATCTTCGGTTTTGGTGGCCGTGGATTTCCAAGGGGGGGGGAGTTCTTGTCAATTATGAAAGATAAATTGTGCACTTTGTCTGCTGAGATGATTAAAACCATTTATCCAAATTATCACATCAGTCCTTACAGGTCTTCGTTTCAGCTACGAAAACGCAATCTTTATTGAAATTTTACGGATTTAGTTATAGATTTCGATACAGAATCAGACAAATCAGGTAATAGACACATAACACACTGCGTTAAGACTGTGTAGCGCAAAAGGTTCTGTTGGCGGTCATATCCTACGGTTTACAGAAAAGGAAAGTTATAAAACATCCTAAGATCTAAGATATACACGAAACGTAGAGATTACTTCATGGACATTGGCATAACGCTGTCGTACAACTTAATACCACACCTACTAATAATTAGGTCACATGTGGTTAACCAATTCCCATCCTAAGATCTATATTTTCCAATTCGAGCTGTTATTGCCCCATGCATCCATGCATTCATCTACATCAGTGTGATGAAAACGATGATTGAGCATTTGTATGTATTTATTTTTTTCTGTAACGAAGTTGGTAATCTGTACCTATTGTCGTCAACTCTGCAAATTATCTAGCAATTTTCTGGTAAGAACCATTCACAAACATGCTAATCTCATATTTACATGTTTCTTTTTCAGTTCTATATACATAATGTTCCCTGGCGGTAACGCGCGTCGCTCAGATGGATCGAATTCAAGAATGCGCATCAAGTCCTTCGCGAATCCGATGGACGAACGATTAGTCAATCAAATATGGGAACAGTTAAAAAACGCAATTATTGAAATTCAAAAAAAGAATAACAGTGGTTTGAGTTTCGAGGAATTATATCGAAATGCATACACCCTGGTCCTTCAAAAGCACGGTGAGCGTCTGTATGCTGGAACCAAGGCCCTGGTCTGCGAGCACATGATTCGTATCCGAGACAGTATAGTGGAGAATTTGAATAATAAATTTTTGAGCTACCTGAACGCATGCTGGAAGGACCATCAGACGGCCATGGTTATGATCCGTGATATTCTAATGTACATGGACCGTGTGTATGTAGGACAACAGCAATTAGATAGTGTGTACAAAATGGGCATGACGGTGTTTTGTAACCTCGTATTACGTCACAATGTGATTCGGGAGCACTTGCAGAAAACTCTGTTGGATATGGTCCGTCGGGAACGTCGGGGCGAAGTAATCTCACGCTCTCAAATTCGTGACGCTTGCCAAATGTTTGTTCAACTGGGAGTGGGCTCTCTACGGGTCTATTTGGAAGATTTTGAACAACCGTTTCTAGAACAATCACGCGAATTCTACCGGGCAGAGAGTGAAAATTTCCTCGCAGAGAACACTTCAGCTTCTTTATATATTAAAAAAGTGGAACAACGTATCGAGGAGGAAATCAAACGAGCCCATCACTATCTAGACCCGTCTACAGAATCAAAAATTGTTGCGGTGCTTGAAGAGGAACTTGTCAGTCGACATATGGAAACAATTGTGAGCATGGAAAATTCGGGATTAACATACTTGCTCACACAAGATCGATTCGATGATATTGCGGCCATGTACAATGTGCTTTGTCGGGCGGCAGAGGGGCCGAGAATTATGAGCCAGTACATTAGCCAGTATTTGCGTGAACAAGGGCGTAATATTGTGCGCGATACCGGGACGTCAAATCCTCAACAATACATTCAAGATTTGTTACAATTACGTGATCGAGCAAACGATTTGTTAGTCCGTGCACTCAACAATCAAACCATATTTCGCAACCAAATCAATTCTGATTTTGAATATTTTATTAATTTGAATGCTCGTTCACCTGAATTTCTTTCACTTTTTATTGACGAGAAATTAAAACGCGGCACAAAGGGCATGGCCGATCAGGACGTTGATGCGGTCTTTGACAAATGCATAGTGCTTTTCCGCTACCTTCAAGAGAAAGATGTGTTTGAAGGGTACTACAAAAAGCACCTAGCCAAACGACTCCTGCTAAGCAAAAGTCAATCTGACGATCAAGAAAAAATTATGATTTCCAAACTGATGGCCGAATGTGGGGCGGTGTACACAAGTAAATTGGAGGGTATGTTCAAGGATATGGCTGTTTCGAAAACATTGATGGATGAGTTTAACACGATGCTACACACGACCAACCGAAATTTGGGTCTAGACTTGTATGTTCGCGTGCTGACCACTGGGCTCTGGCCGACTCAGTCAATCAATTCCTGTGAAGCATTACCCGAGGAGGCTGCGGCCGCGTTTGATGTGTACAAGAGGTAAATCAATATGTTGTGTGCTGTTCATGCCACTTGTTTCAAGGTTTTCAGGTCGGTTTGATTCATACACATATTTCCACCTTACCGCGCGTTGTTAACCGTATCAGTATGTTTTTTTCAACCCTTTCCCTTTGTTTCACTTTCCGAACCGTACTGTCCTCGTAGACAACGTCTTCATCACTCGCCAAAGCTGGTTGTCAAATGTGGATACAATTAGTACATCACTGAATGAAAGCTAGCTTCCGAAACTTCGTCAGTTCATGCATTTATTGGCTTTCTATGTATGAAGATTCTCATGCAAATCTGTGAACAATCTCGTTTTACACACAGTTGATGTCCGCTGCATTTCAAAGACACCAATTCATGATCTTGGTATTTTGAGTCATCTGGTCATAGAGATGCTTATTTCGCATATGATGAGGCGCTGAAATCCAATTAAAGGATGAAACTAAAGATTTACCTGTCGGTTAGATCCCTATTACTAACCGTCCATCACGACGAGACTGCACCTTGACGCGGTGTGATGGCTTGCGTGCCTCCATGACC